TTTTTTAAAGGAATGGATTAGAAATATCTTCCCTATGTTATTGATTTAGAAATATATTTGCATATGATGTAGTAAGGTCAGGATATAAATTTAACTATACTCCTTGAGATTATTGCTCTAGAGTAGTCCCAGTCACTGAAACCAGCTGCTGGTGAGTGAAAGCTGTTTTTAATGCACATAACTATTTCCGTTCGGATGAAATCAAGCTTTCCGTACGCAGCGCTGGATAGCCTTCTCCAAGGCTACAAGAGGCCACCGTGTCAGGTTTCCAGGACGCTGGGTCGTCATTTGCCACTCCTTTACGCTAATGATTGTATTGTTTTAATTCATTCACTTACAGGAAAATTGACACGAGACATTTATATTAGGGAGCTAATGGAGCCACCTAATGACTAATTGATTAGATCCCCGAGTGCGACTCCAACCCAGAGTGGCCCAGAGGAATTCAGGCAATTACTAGGCTGGGTTGTTTGGGAGCAACTAATCAGCGCATTGGGGCGAGTGGGCGAGGGGGGGGGCTTTTACTGTCTTGATTTATGAGACGTGAACATTAAATATGTTTGCAGAAGAGGAGGAAGTTTGCAGATCCCGAGCATTTTCCCTCCGGGGGGGAGAGAGCGAGAAGGTTTTGTTTTTAATAAGAGGATGAAGGGGCCGCATCAGAATGGAGAGAAAGGAGGGCGGGGAGAATAATCGCTCAGCCGGAGAGCAAGAGGGACACACCAAAGACAGTCAAAGAGCAGATACTGAATCAAAAAGCACGAAGGGCCGCGTTTTACAAAGCAATCTTAACCAGTGGTCCTCTGAATCTGATTCTGCGCCCGGGTGGTAGCGGTCTCAAGCTGACCCATACCTGGCTGCCCAAGCAAGCTTCAGACCTGATGGGACACCTTGGTTGTTAGCATCTTCCCTTACCCTCTGTGTGTACCTGAGCACGACTATTCGGGAGATGGAAAAGACAATGGGGGGGATTCCACTCAGACCCAACGACCAACTTGTCCTTCCCCGGTTCCTAAATGAGTACGGGAAAGGGTGGGGGTGGGGAATGAAGAGAAAGAAACTCACCTACTTGATCTGAGGCGACCCACAAGAGGTTGTATAAAAAAAAAAAACCCAAACCCTACTTGAATTCTTTCTTTTCGCTCTCTGTTTCATACCTAGAAACCTTCTTTACCAAGATATCCCCAAGGATCTCTACCGGTGCCTGGTCAAACTATTTTGGCAACAAACAAAAAATGCTTCGGAAGAGGAAATGCAATACCGAATCACCTTTAGGCACAGTAATAACTAGATATAAACGCATGGACACTCTCCGTTCATCCTTCCCTTGCCTGGATCTATGACCCTTGGTTAAGAGGGCACTGCTGGGCAGAAGATGAAAGCTACGCGACGCAATCGTCTCCTAATGCTAGGGCCCAGTGATTCCAACGCCCAGGTGAGGGATCCAGTGGAGATCAGTAAATGTGCCTCGAATCGCGCTTGCGAAGGGAGGTATTAGACGAAACAAAATCCAGACGTAACATTTCTGCTGTCCACAGACAAGCTCCCTTACACAGATAGGTAACACTTTCTCATATATATATATGTATAAGAACAGTAAGAAACATAAGATATACAGACCACTCCCCTTTCTTTTCTTTTTCCGGTATCGCTGGGAAAGTTTCCTTCATCTGTCTCCAGATCAGTTCTGGATTTCCTTCTCAAAAGGCAGCCTACGCAGAAGAGCAATATAACAACTGCAAACTATAAGCAGCAAAAGTCAACGAGAAATGACCACTAACTTAATCCCCGTTTCTTCTTTTCCTACCCAAGATAATCCTTCGCCTTGCTTCTGTGCAGCGCCTGGCTCTGCGCGGCGATGGCCATATGAAACGAGCGATAAGTTAATACAACCCAACATCGCATGATAAATAAAAGATGGGAGTTTGAAAAATAAAGAGTATAAAGAAAAAAAAGGACGGAGCCGGGGATGAAATTTGAAGATTTTTTGGGGGGAAACGCCAGATCCTAAAATGAGAGCCATGTGTTTGTGTGGGTGTGTGGGTGAGAGTTTATTCGGGAGCTGTCCAAATGCTGAAAGAGAGAACGCCGACTTTGGAAAGCAAAACAGTTTCAGCAAAGGGATTCTGTTGGAGCTTGGGAAAGTTTTTAATTCCCGGCATCCTATACCAAGAAGGAAACAAAAGATGCTGACAGAAAAACGGTACTTTTTCCAAACTTCTCTTAAAACCTAGGCTCATTGTTTGCTCCGTATTGAACCTGACTTTTAAAAGAAGTCATTTCATATAGGAATGCCATCTGAGCTGTTTGTAATAAAAGGAATGTTAAAACAAGAGTTTTTCTTGTTAATCTCGGGTTGGCAAATTAGCCAGTTGATAAAACAAATGTAACTGGTGGAGAGGTAAAGAGAAAGTAACTAGAAGTAGCAAAATACCTTCTCGGACCGGACGTGCAGAAATCTACAACAGGTGATGTTAACGGAATAGCTGAGAAAAATCTTTAAATATCTCTTACCTGGATTTATTTTTAAAAACCTAAAGGCCATTCAAGAGTATATGAATTCCTGGCGGCCAGTGAAGAAAGGATGCAGGCAGAGTTGCTTTCTGTCCCTTTTATACCACCCTGTCCAATTAATATTGCATCAGCCTTATTTTAAATTTTCAGAACCCACAATATAATGTAATGACATAAGGGCATTTATTATTAAAGGACATTTGATTGGGGGGGGGAATCATTGGGGCTCCATGCAAAACAAGATAAAACGAGGACATATGAGGAATGCAATAGTTCTAGGGTTTTTAAAAAAATTATTGTTCCTTTCACGAACTCCAAAGTATGAGTTTTAAAAGATGAGTAGCCCCTACTCCGAATTTTGTTGCTGGATATTCACTGAAACGGGAAGGCGAGGTGTACAGAAGATCAATGGGCTTCCATCATTAATTTTTAATCGTTTAAGGTGCTTCCGGGGTTCATAAATAAAAGCTCTCTTTTTCTTTTAAAACAGAATTCCAAATGAGCCTTGGATAGCGTTGTTTCTAGTGCTTTGGTTTCCTTAATGAAACTTCGGAGCATGAAGTTCCATCGGTCTCATGGTGAGAAAAACTTAGCTAAACTTTTGTTAGGGGAAAGTCAGCTTAGCTTCTTATGAACAGAGGTATAATTTGTGGGGTTAGTTCTAACCATTAGTAAACTTCCTCCCTAAGAACTTTTAAGGATCTGGCAAACGTTTCTTCTCTTTGATCCTACACTAAAAAGTGCAAACACTGCTATAGTGGTAAACAGCACACGCACAAAATATAGTTAGGAAAAGGCCTGATTTGCTAGGGAAAAGCTCTGATTCGAACTTAGCTGTAATATATACACGGTAAGGAATATATAAATAATGAGTAACACCTGACGGAATTGCTGGCCCACTAAATCAACAGCAGCATAGACTCTGCGCATGGGGGGGGGGAGTATTTTCAGTTTCTTTTAAGTACAAAACTTTCTACAGAGCTTGTTTCGATCGTATGTCAGATATTTTTCAATTAACCCCCCCCTCCAAACAGCAGGGGGTTTTCATTCTGGTTGAAAAATAAACCATTTTTATTTGAGAAGTTTCAGAATTAGTTTCCGGTAGGTCGGGAGATAAGCGAGGCAAACTAAAAACTGGTTCAGCTACATCAGATCACGCAGGCGCACCAAACTATGGGAGCGAAACATGAACTATTCGGCGGGAAGGGAAGCCGGGACTGGGCGACGTTATTGCAAATGCAGAGTCAAGCTATTTGGAGAACCCCTTTCCTATAACTTAGGGTGGAGACCGCTTTAATTAAAGCAAAAACGGACAGAGACTGACAGATTTTATTGTAATGATTCCTCTCCCTTGTGACTGCCTCCAGATCAAGTTGGGTACAAGGCTAGGCATGTCGGCGGTAGACAGAAATTCAGACTTGTTTGGAAGTCCAGTGGCAAACTCTCTCATTACAGAAGGTAAATGAAAGTTCTCGGACTTAAAGCAGATTCGACCTACTCGAGTCAATCACTTAAAAGCCCAGCACTCCCTCCATCTCAGTTTGTTTTACCGACCGAGCTAAGCTTGCGTGGGTATCAATCTGACTTACTAAACCCAATGGAGGTTTTGCTCTCTGGGTTCTGAAAACGCTTGCTTGGAATAAGTCCCTTGTAAATAAATGAGACGTTCCCCTGTACACCTGTCTAGGAGGACTGGCGTGCCAGTCTTGTGGTCCGCGAACGGAATTCAGTTCTGAATGGTGAGTTTTAAGTAGATCTTTTCCTTTCCCCCCCCCCTCCCCCGAAAAATGACTTGGAGATAATTGTGTGTGTGACGAAGAAGCTGACGACCAGCGGGGTATTTCGCAGAATTAAAAATATAGCTATCCTCCCCACCCCCCTTTATGAAAGCAACCAAGTATAAAAAGGATCTACAGATCTCGGACAGCATGCAATTGACCAGGCGAGGGGGTCAGCTCCGCCTTCCCCAAACTTGGCCTCAAGCTGGAGCAATGGATTTTCTGAAAATAGGCTTTTTAAAAAATATAAGTCAGTGTCACACATCTGAAAAACTCTTCATTCTTCCGTGGGGTCCAGTTCCCCTCCAAGCCACAACCATCCTTGAGTTTCTTATTGCGTTTTTTTAGAAATGTATTTTAAAACCCCCAAGTACCTCTCCAGTTCCACCTCTTCCAGCCAAACTGGAAAGCGTCCTCCAGGCCAGTGCACTAGAAGTGAGAGCCGTAACCCCGGCGGAGGAAGCGGGGGGGAGGCGGGTGGCGCGGGGGACCCTAACTTTGTTTTCAGGCAGGCAGGCAGGCAGCCGGGAAGAGCCGGGGAAGCACCGCACGAGGGCAGGCGACAGCAGTGCTCCCGCGGCGGCCGGCGGCGGCCGGGAGGGAAAGGCTCTGTGGCTTGGGTGGGCCGTCCGTCCCGAGAGCTCCCCCCTGCCGTGCCGAGCGGTGCGCCCGAAGAGTTTCGGAGCGGGCGGCGGCGGCGGCGGCGTCTCAGTGTCCGGCCGAGTACTTCATGCGTTTCTGCTTCTGCCGCTGGTTGCAGAACCAGACGCGGACGACGTTCTTCTTGAGGTCGAGCTTCTCGGCGATGGCGGCGATCTTCTCGGAGGAGGGCCGCGGCTGGATGGCGAAGTAGGCCTCGAGGGAGCGCTTCTCGGGCGCGGCGATGGAGGTCCGCTTGCGCTTCCGCTCGGCGGCGGCGGCGCCGCTGAAGAGCTCGGGCTTGGCGTGCCGCTCGCGGTGGGCGGCCTCGGCCTCCTCCAGCCAGGCCTGCAGGACGGGCTTGAGGGCGATCATGTTGTTGTGCGAGAGCGTCAGGGACTCGAAGCGGCAGATGGTGCTCTGGCTGAGCGAGCCCACGCCCGGGAGCTTCAGGTTGGCCAGCGCCGAGCCCACGTCGGCCTGCGTGACGCCCAGCTTGATCCGCCGCTGCTTGAAGCGCTCGGCGAAGGCCTCCAGCTCCCGCGGGTCCGACTCCACGTCGCTGAGGCAGGGCCCCGCGGCCAGGCTGTTGTGGGGCGCCGCCGAGACCGCCAGGCCAGACGAGGCGGGCGGCGGCGGCGGCGGGGGCGCGGGGCGCCGTGCTCGGGGCCGCCCATCAGCGCGGGCGAGAGGTGGTCCAGGAGTTCGCCGTCGAGGCCCTGGTGCGCCACGGCGTGCGGGTGGTGGGGGTGATGGTGGGGGTGATGGTGGGGAGAGGAGTGATGGTGGGGGTGGTGAGCGGGGCTGGCCGAGATGGGCACGGTGGGCGCGGAGGTAGCCGGGCAGGGCACGCTGCTCATGGTATGGTAAGTGGCGTCGGGCTTGAAAGGATGGCTCTTGCCGTGCGAGACCAGGTCCACCGCCGCCAGAGCTTCAGCCCGGGCCAGCAGACTCTCATCAAAGCCGCCGAATATATTGCCCTGCAGCTGCAAGCGAGAACGAGCAGAGCGGAGTCAGTGGGGAATACTGTCAAGTCAGGATTCAAAAACATTTCTTTCTCTCTCTCTCTCGCTCGCTTTCCCTCTCCCTCTCCCTCGCTCCAGCACGGAGAGTCTTCCTCAAAGCTCAGGTCATAAAAATTAATATGAAGGCAGAAGAGGCTTTGCTTGAACAGACGTGTGGATCAGAGCGCGGGAGGGGGGGAGAGAGAGGGCGAGCCAGACGCGATTGTTCTGGCGACATGAAAAAAACATTAAGCGGGGGCCTGTCAAAAAATGTGCCTTAAAGCAGTAATTATGCTTCATCTACATACCTGCGGGGCCGGCAGGCACACGCGGCGCATCGCCTCCGAGCTGGAGTGCAGGCTGGAATACTTGGCTTCCTGCAGGGCAGGGTGCATGCCGAACGGCTGCTTGGCGTTCATGCCCATCATCTTGGCGCACCTTGCAGGTAGGCAGCCCCTGACATCGAGTCAGGGCTGGCTCTCTGGCTGGCGACTGTCAAAGTGAGCTATTTTCAATGACAAAGCGTCCCTCCCCCCCCCCCCTCCC